TATTCTATTCTATTCTATTCTATTCTATTCTATTCTATTCTATTCTACGCTACCCTTCTCTACTCTACTCTACTCTACTCTACTCTATGCTACTCTACTCTACTCTACTCTACTCTACTCTACTCTACTCTGTTCTATTATATTCTATGCTACGCTACGCTACTCTATTCTACTCTACTCTACTCTATTCTATTCTATATGGTTTGGTTAAAATTGGAAGGAGTCAGTGGTGAATCTTGTACATTTCCTTAACCTAAACAATATTTGAGTACAAAAAACAGTGTCCAACATGATGTAGGGTAGTATAAATCCCAGGAGATGTTACCACAGATAAGAAGAAAGGGGATTTAGGAGAGGAGTGGGAATTGGAGAATTAATTGGAGAATTGAGTGTAGGAAATTCTCGACTTATGACCATCGTGGAGCCCTTTACTAAACAAGACAGTTGTTAAATTGTGCCCCATGTTACGGCCTTTTTTTGCCGTAGCTGTTAAATGAACGACTGCAATTTTTAAATGAATTGTATGGTTGTTAAATGAATTTGGCTTCCCCCATTGATTTTGCTTGTCGGAAACCAACTGGGAAGGTTATAAATGATGATCCTGGGACAGTGCAACTATCAGAACTACAGGCCAGTTGCCAAGCACCCAAATTTTTATCACATGACCATGGGGGGTGCTGCAACAGTCGTAAATGTGAAAAATGGTTATAAGTCACTTTTTTCAATGCTGTTGTAAGTTTGAACAGTCACTAAATGAATCATTGTAAGTCAAGGACTAGCAGCACAATAGCTCAAAACCATATGTATAAAAGAGTCAAAGCTGCTTTTTCAAGGGGCAACTGGACTTCCTGGTTTTTCTTTGAAGATGTTTTGCTTCTCATCCAAGAAACTTCTCCAGCTCTGAGCTGAAGAAGTTTCTTGGACGAGAAGCAAAACGTCTTCTAATCAAAGAAAAACCAGGAAGTCCAGTTGCCTCTTGAAAAAGCAGCTTTGGGTCAACCATGATCTCAATGACTGAGAATCTCCATAGACATTTAGCTATGCCCTTTGGTATGTATAAAAAGGTTTTACAGCTTATTTTGGTATCTGTGTTAAAGATCTTCAAGGACACAAATCCAGGAACCCAAAATGATATCTGTTTCAAAGTCTAGTATGTGTGGCAATGCCCATGCGTATGTTTAGCATGATTTTAAACTAAACATGTTGTGTAAACTCCTCTCAGATCAAATTATTTGGTTTTCATTCTGAGAGAGCATAAAACAAGACAACAATTACCCCGCTTCAACTAAATTTACTCTGCCTCCTTCTCTTTGGACTATTACCTCTATTTTTTTGGCCTCTTATAAGCTTATTTCACATTTATATGACTCTATTAATATATTTTGCTTCCAAATCAGCCTCAAAGGATTCATATCCAGTCAGGTATGAAACAAATCACTGTTGCTTTTTTTTAATCAAACCTAGTTTGTTTCCTGACAGTGAGAACAATTAACCAGTGGATGTCTTGCCTTCAGAAGTTGTGGGTGCTTCAACACTGGAGCTTTTCAAGAAGAGACTGGATGGCCTTTTGTCTGAAATGGTATAGAGTCTCCTGCTTTAGCAGGGGGTTGGACTAGAAGACCTCCAAGTTCCCTTCCAACTCTGTTATTCTGTTACTTCCTTTTTAGTGGAAAAGACTACAGAACAACTGGAATCTTCGGGGGAGGAGGTTTTGCTGCCCTTGACCACAATGCCAGCTGTCATTCACTCCACCGTTCTTCCAAGAGATGATATTTTAGAGCCTACAGATCAGTTGACTTTATTGCCAGCAGATACCTCCACTGGCCCTTCCACTGACATAAACCAATTTTTGGAAGCCACAAGCTCCATGTGGGCAACCTCAGATGGTTTTGAAATGGGAGTGCAGGACCTTGCCACTGAGTTAGTTATCACTGACATGATGGCCCCAGTGACAGTGGAGGAGGAGGAGGAGGAGGGAAGTGGCTACCATACATTGCCAGAAACCCCAGGTATGACTCCAGCTCCTTCCCTGAAGTATATAACCACAAGCTCCATGACAGCTGCAATCCAAGGCCAAGAGCTGGTGGTATTCTTCAGCTTGAGGGTGACCAACAGGCGCTTTTCCAATGACCTCTTCAATCAGAGTTCCCCTGAGTACAAAGCACTTGAACAACAGTTCGTACAGCTGGTAGGTGACAAAGGATGGTATTGAACTTGTGGATAATCCCGCACCCCCCACACCTAAGAGAAATCTTAGAACATTATGCCTCGCATTAAAATCAGAAAGAACAAATAAAAACAAATTGAATTGATGGTGGGGGAATGCTTTCAGAAGAAAGTTAGGATTCCTTCTCCTAACAGTCTCAACCTTCATTATTATTTCCTCAATTCTATGTACTGCTCCTAAAAGAAAAGTCCTCATCAAGTTCACCTTGGCTCCTAATGACAACATGGATATGTTCCTGTTTTGGCTACAGCAGTGGTTAATCATAGCTACTTGTTTACTAGTCCTTTCTTCTTTCCTTTCTTCTTTCTTTCTTTCTTTCTTTCTTTCTTTTTTTCTTTCTTTCTTTCTTTCTTCCTTCCTTCCTTCCTTCCTTCCTTCCTTTCAGGAAGGAAGAAAAGAAGGTAAGCAGGTAGGCAGACAAGAAGGAAGAAAAGAAGGAAGGAAGGAAGGGAGGGAGGAAGGAAGGAAGGAAGGAAGGAAAAAGGAGTTGACCTGAACCAAGGATTTTATTATAGTGGTGAGGAATGCAGCATTGGACAAGGCTGGGAACCATGTTATCATAGAGAAGATCTATCTATGTAATCCAGGAATGTCCAACCTTGACAACTTTAAGACTTGTGAACTTCAACTTCCAGAATTCCCTGGTCAGCATGGTTGGCTAGAGAATTCTGGGAGTTGAAGTCCACAGTTGCCAAGGTTAGACACCAAAGAAGGAAGGAAGGAAGGAAACTGGATTAGTTTAAAGCCCTGGGATTGCCTTATGTTTTTTTTCCTGCCACTATTAACTTGCTCAGATTTTTAAGATTTTTTTAATGCTTATTTTAGGATGCATTTTTCAGTTTCTTGGATCCCTACTGTTTACAGCCAATTTTATTTCTAGTTCTGATGCCAAAATGAACTAGGAAGGGAGAAAAGTTGGAAAGTGATGAATGTATTGCTTTTTTGAAGTGTGAGAATACAAGTTAATGGAAAGAAATGTGTGTTTGAGGTTGTAATATTTATTTTGACCTGAAAATAGGAACAGTTGTATTGGTTTTACTGTACTTCAATCCCATGAAAGTATAAAAATTTCAAACAGCATAATAATTTACAGATGATTATTAATTTAGTCCTTTGTCAAAATATATCCTTCATGTTATATTCTAATGCAAATAAAGAGTCTAGGTGAAATTGAATGTTCATTATCTCATTGGCCTGAAAGTACACTTGAACAATATTTTGTATAATATAGAAACTCTAGTAAGCATTGTGGAATGACAAGCAGAATTATATAAAAATGTAAGAATTATTCTTTTAGATCAAAGTCCCATTTATTCCAATATTTTGTTGCTTATATGCTTCACAAACCTAGGGCTTATTCTTTCTACTTGCATAACCTATTGTGGGAAAAATCCCTATGAAATTAAAGGAAGCACTCCTACAACTGTAATTTATATTTAAGTAGACTTAAATGTCATTGATTTCTTTTTAACTGTACTGCATTCTGTGAATGAAATTTGCAAAAACAAAAGAGCACTCTAGCTGTCTTGCTTGATTGTTTTAAATTTAAAAGGTCTATCTTGAGAGCTGCCATTGAAAGGCTAATTCAGAAATTTGACTTGGTATTAGATGTAAAATCAGCTAATAGCATCAGTAAAACAGAGTAAAATTGTATTTCTCAAAATAAATAATGAGTGCATGTGACATTAATAGCATAATTTTCTTTCATTTTTCAGCTGGTTCCCTATCTACAATCCAATCTTACAGGATTTAAGCAGTTGGAAATACTGAATTTCCGCAATGGAAGTGTGATTGTAAATAGCAAAATGAAGTTTGTGGAGTCAGTGCCATACAACATCACAGAGGCTGTTCACTGTGTGTTGGAAGATTTCTGCAATGCAGCTGCTCGGCGTCTTAACTTAGAAATTGACAGCTCTTCTCTTGAAATAGAGCCAGGTAATATAAAAAGTGAAACAGAAAACAGGACAATATTGCTTTCCTCTAAGCCCTCTACATTGTTCTTCATAGATAAATAAATAGATAAATATCTAGTAAAACTACATGGAATGCAGTATATTTTGAGGAAGCTTGTAAAATAATATGATGACAAAGAGAAACTTTATTGCTGGTGGAGTTATTCAGTTTTTGATGTTTTCTCCATTGTCTGGTTAGATATCTGATTGGAAAATATTTGTGGGAACTGTAGTTTCCAAAAACATATCTAGAAGTACCTTCAAAAACTTCAGTTTTCTTGTGCTGCAATAGAAACAACACCGGTTGTTTCTCAACACTTATGTTACTATATCCCAATCTGTACTGTTTTCAGCTGTTTTGTTCTATAGGATCCTGTCTTTGATGGTAAGTGAGTCTTAACAAGCTTTTTCTCAGGCTTATAGCACTGAGAAACTTTTATTTATTCATTTTATTTAGTTGTTTATTCATTCATTTCTTCAAATCAAACCAGCCCTAGCAGTGCACAATACCAATGTAACCAAAACTATAGCAATATCCAATTTCTAATAACAAGCAATATTCCATTAACAAGCCATAATAGTTATAGAATATGAAGATAAAACAATAATAGCAATAGCACTTAGACTTATATACCACTTTATAGTGCTTTACAGTCCTCTCTAAGCAGTTTACAGAGTCAGCCTATTTCCCCCAACAATTTGGGTCCTCATTTTACCCACCTCGGAAGGATGGAAGGCTGAGTCAACATTGAGCCTGGTGAGATTTGAACTGCCAAACTGTAGGCAGCTGGCTGCAGAAGTAGCTTGCAGTACTGCACTCTAACCACTGTGCCACAGAGGCTCTAATGATGATATTTAGCTAGTCAACAAATTATAACAGTTATATGCTCAGATTTTACTGTTTGTTCCATTGATAATCAATTCACCCAGCCTGCAGTACTTCCTTCCTTGATTTTCACTTCCGATTTATGATGTGATGATCTAAAACACCTAGCAGAACAGTATACAATGAGTCAAATTAAATACAGTTTATCTGCTTTAGCTAAATAGGAAGTCGTATATATATGCACACTGCACATCTTAATTAGGGAAAATAGGTTGCAGTTAGAGAAAATGGAAGAACAAGCAAAGGAACAGACATATAGATTGATGATACAGTGAAGCCTCTAGAGATGATATGAAAGTTAGGCAATAATTAAGCAAAATTATTTTTAAGCAAAAAAAATAAGACTTAAGCAAAAACGTTGATATGCTCACACATAGACATATGCCAGGGATTGTAGGAATAGTTTTTTTCAATCCCTTGTAATTTTTTGTCATAAAAATATGGTATACATCTTGCCATGAACTTGTTCTCGCCCTTTCACAGATCCAAAGCACTTATACACCATGTTTATGTTCAACTGAAGAAAGTTGTCAGTGATACATTGACATAGCCATGTCATGATTCAACTGATATCGCCAACATTATGACTGAAAGGTTGTCCTGATGACAGTGCTGGAATTTCCTTCATTTCATAACCTTTAAATCAGAATATGGAAGCTACAAGGAAGTACAGGACAGGTTTTAAAAGGTGTTCCCTTTCTAACTGGAGGATTCAAGGTTAAAGCACAAATGTTAATGCATCAAGACAAACAGTAATTAAACCATATAAAAATAAACAAACAGGTTGGTTTAACTTCATTTGCAGGGATGCCAGATGGATAGATTCTGCGGGTTATGTCCCTTTGTTCAATGGCCATTCAAAGGTATGGTGACACTGAATAAAATGGATGTGCGAGCAATTCTCAAAATTCTGGCTATTTTAAGGACCCCTGCAATTGCTTATTATAATCAGACAAGATGGTATAGCAGAAGAGACAACGAAAAGAAGTTATGGTGCTGAAATCATGAAATCTGCATGTAATCACAGTCTGAGATGAAACAAGAGGGGAATAAGCAGACCTTTAAATTAGGGCTATTGTGATGGTTTTAAGTCAGAATTATTCCTAAGAATAAACAATTAGTTTCCCTGTTTTGGAGAATATAAAATCCAGTTGATGCTTGAAGATGTCTTCAGATTCTTTACTAGGTGAAAACCGTGGCGGGAGATATGTTTGAAGGCAGATTCGCTCTACCTTCTGCCATCTCTGTTCTGAGCATGGTAGGGTGGACCCCATGAGGGCTTGCAGGCACCTCCTTCTTCTGGAATGAAATGTGAAGTCTGTATCCCGTCTTCACTGTTTAATCAGCTTAATTACAAGGTAAAAGGTAAAGGTTCTCTTCGCACATATGTGCTAGTCGCTTCTGGCTTTGAGGGGGGCAGTACTCATCTCCGTTACAAAGCCGAAGAGCCAGTGCTGTCCAAAGACATCTCCGTGGTCATGTGGTCAGCATGACTAAATACCAAAGGCGCACGGAATGCTATTATCTTCCCACCAAAATGATCCCTATTTTTCTACTTGCATTTTTACGTGCTTTTGAACTGCTAGGTTGGCAGAAGCTGGGACAAGTAACGGGAGCTCACTCCATTACGTGGTGCTGGGGATTCAAACCGCCCAACTGCTGACCTTTCTAATCACCAAGCTCAGCGTTTTAGCCACTGAGCCACCGTTACAAGGATCTCCCTTCTATTGCCAGGAAAAAGGAAAAAGATAAAGCCCAACCAAAGCTGAAACCAAGAGGTTGGGGAAATAAAAGTACTTTTCCTGAAGCATATTCTGATTTAGGGCACATATTTGTAAGGGGGACAAGAACTGAAAACCAAAGATGTGCTTCTGTTGACATAAGGCACTACCCATCACTTACAGTATAAAACAGGTCAGGCTGTCGACTTCCCTTTTTCCTGGCCTGCTGCTTGGTTGTCTTGTAGATGTTATGTTGCTGCCAGTGAGTCAAGTAAGGCCTCTTCAAGGTTCCTTATTATGTGACACTCTAGAGAGCTGAGTTTTCCATTCCACTTTTTCCCTTTCTTCCATTGTGGTGCCCAGGATGGAAAATAGTTCCAGGGAGCATTTGCCAGAACAGAAGTAATTCTAAGATTGTTTGATGAGTTTTGGAAGACAGTCTTAAAACAGTACCTGAGCTCTTGTGATAACTCCTTTCAGTTTTCATAATCCAGGAGAACACTGGGAGTGCTGTGGTTGTCAAATTATTCTACCTCCCTCTCTGACCCACTGCACAAAACCTATACTTTTAGATTTCTACTAATAGCTTACTATTTGGGCTTGTTGCATTAATGCAGGCAAATGGTCCATAGTTCCATCAAAAGGAAATTGTCCGGAAACACAGTGGGATGAAATTGAACTACCATATTATTAGAATATTTCACCTATTACAAAATACAGCGCACCACTTAGACCAATAGAGTGAATTTATTGCAACCCTCCAATAGCCTTTCAGTTTATCTGATTTCTAAATCAGCTTTGCAACTCCCACCCCATCAACAGCCTTTCATATAGTTATTAATGCCATTTTAATTGGATGGTCACAGTATATAGGCAGTATTAATATGAATGCACTCATTCAAGAATTTAATTACTAGGCAACAGATGACAAGAATATGAAATCAAAACAGCTAGGGTTTTTTTTTCTCTTTTTTATTCATTGCTGCAACAAAAGCCATGAATTCTTGTTGCATGCCTAAGGAATGAATACCTATCATATTAGCAACAGAGGGACAATAATTTCAGCACAATTAGGGTGGACCTTACATATTATAAAACAAAGCCTTCCATGTCCAACAGCAGCTGTGTTCCACATTTCTTTGCAATGACACATGTCGTTTACTTTACACCCTGATGAGTTCATTAAGAGGGGTTTGAGTTGATTGCATTGTAGATGTACCGCAATGGCCCAGCTGGGAAACCATTTTGGCCAATAGTCCAGAAGGATAAAATACTTACAAGGCAATGCTTTCCAAAGGTTTTCTGAAGAAGGCACTGCTCACTTCCTCTTCAGAAGAAGGCATTTGCTGTAAAATATGGTTGATAACTATCTAAAAGATATATAAAAGTAATACCAAATTACTGAAGAAATACATCATTGCAGCTTGTGAAAGCCAAAAAGAAGGGACTTCACTCTGTTGCTTCTCAGTCATATATTAGCAATGGTAGGTAGCTGTGATGGACAAATGTTTTCTCTAGCAGCCATGCAGATTTACCAGGTCCACGTGATCCTGCATCAATGAATCCATTTCAAAAGATTTTTCTTCTCTGTTCCAGCGGATCAAGCAGACCCTTGCAAGTTCTTGGCATGTGATGAATTCTCACGGTGCCTAAAGGATGACTGGACAAAGGAGGCAATTTGTCTTTGTAAACCTGGTTATGCAAGAAAAGAAGGCCTGCTTTGCCATAGCATATGCGAGACAGAGCCAAACATTTGTGCTAACGGTAGCAAATGCGAATTGGTTCCGGAAAAAGGTGCAGTGTGTAGGTATGTCCCTTTATTATAAGGTTGATCATGAATATTAATGGTACCATGGATATGGATAAGTGCAGTGGCAATTATTTTGCAATTCTCAAATGGCATTAATGTTTGCTTGGATTGTCAGTATGAGAAGAGAACATTCTGCATGCAGATTTTGTGCTCTGTTATTAAACAAAGTTTCCCATTCAAACTCTCCAGTTAAAAGTTTTATGGGAACTGGACTAGAGAGGCTTTATCTGAACCTCTGGTGATATACTGCTGGTCAAAACAAGTACACTGACTTCACTCAGATGCATTTTTGTGAGATTACAATCAAATTTAATTTATTTTATTTTACATCGTAGTGTTCAATTACCTCAGGCACAGAATATTTCTCAAAAGCCAGAATCTACCTAATAAAGTATGTAGAATAAAACAGTAGCAGCTTTAGCAACCATTTTTAATTATCTCCTATACCTATATCAGGGCTGTCAAACTCTCAGCCCATGGACTAGATGCATCACGCTCTGGCCAGGCCCATGCCCGGTTTAGCGAAGGGGAAAAAAGACACGATACATCATGTGACGCTGCCATAATGACACAAGGTTGATGCTCCTGACTATATGATCCAATAACACAAAGTGTTTGATCCTTGGCTTAAAGTCTCTCATTTTTCCCCCATCAGTTGGTTAATTACATTACAACAGAAATGCAGAATGAAGACAAAGTGGGGACAAGCAGATCCACCCTTCGTATGTTCTGATATCTCAGTGGCCTTTTATACCGCCTGTCTTACCACCAACCAGCAAGTTCTGCTTTGCCATTTCTGAGATTCTCTTTTACCTCTCAGTCACTACAGTACAGATAATCCTAGTCGAATTCATCCTGTTTTCCATAATGACAATCCCATCCATAATTTTTGCAATGGACCATATAGTATAAGTTTTATGAGTAATTTTACAAAATAAACAAAAGCACAGAATATGATAGTAAAATACATACACATATTATCCTTCATCTTCAAAATATGCTTTTCTGAGTTTCACCATTGGCCTTTCAACTATCTTCTTACTGTGTTTCAGTGTTCTATGATGTTTAATAATAATGTTTAACACACCTCACTGCAGCGGCTTCATACCTGGATCTTCTCGGTAACAAAATGGTCTGATAATGTTTCTGACACTGTGTCTCTTGAGGGTCTTGAGTTTAGTGGTTTGTAATTGTAAACATTTAATTCATAATCTTTGTTTTCTTCATAGGCCCCAGGATACAAAACAAAAAATAACAAGTTAGCATCTGAAAGCCTGAATTCCAGAGACTATGAAGGTTTGTGATTTTTTTTTTTAAAGTTGTCAAATGCATTTTTAGTAAAGTCCGGAGATCTTACATACTTTTATGTGGCTCCTTAAAACTTAGAATCAGTCCTTTATTTTATTTGATTTACTTGCCTTTGCTAATTTAAAATACGTCGTTTAAATTATGAGCAAGGAGTGGTGCAGTGGCCTAGAGGTGGAGCTGCTCCCGCCTCACAATCAGGAGGCTGTGAGTTCAATAGGTAGAGGCAGATATTTCTCTCTCCAGGCACAATGAGAATATATCTGCTGAACAAAACTCTGCGTTGGAGACAGGAAAGGCAACCGGCCATTAAACACTCTGCTAGCTCCATTCAATAGCCCAGACCCCACCCCGCAAGGGATGATGATGATTTAAATTATGGGCAAATTTTTTGTAGCAATATTCAGGCTTAGTATGTAGTGTACCACATGCTATGATTTTTATTATTACGTGCCATCATGTTGGCATCAACTCTTGCTAATCACGTAGATACTGTATATGTTCTTCAGGATGATCTGCCCGCAGCCTAGTCTTTCAGGTACAACCCCATCGCTGCTGTTATTGAGCTTTCACTCCCTAACCCATCCCCTTCCTGTATTTTGCCATTCTTAAAGCTTGTCTTGGGGGTCCCCAGCCCATGGAAGAGATTGAATTTCTGCAGAGAAGAAGCAGAATTACACCCCGAATAGGTTTTACTCATAGAAGTACACCACTGAACTCCATTTTAAGTAACCTTACATTCCTTTCACGAACGTTGTTTCTACAGGTGCTTTAGGAACAAGACCTCTTCTAATATGGAAGCTCAGTGGAATCTTTGAGGAAGAAGGAGGACAACCACAACATCCATCTTTTTCTTCCCCAGAAAAAATGTGGAACATTTTAACTGAAGCTTATATCTTTTTTTTTTAAAGGCAGAAGCTGTAATTAATTTCCTTAAAACTGTTTAACTTCATAGCATCCCTATTAACATAAATGCAATGCTAAATGTAATGTAATTAGTAGATATCTAATGTTTATGTGATTTTTTTTGTTGCTTAGATGTAAGTCAAGTCTGTGTATTACAGGTAGTCCTTGACTTTATGACCGTTTGCTTGGCAAGTGTTCAAAGTTCCAACGCACAAAGTTAAAAGCACTGACAATAGTTGTAGCATCCTACAGTCATGTGTTTGCCATTTGCAATCTTCCCAGCCATCTTCTAACCAGCAAAGCTAATGGGAATGCCAGCAGGAGGTCTCAACTCACGGTCATGTGAGGTCTCACTTAATGACCATGGGGGAATCACTTAACGACTATAGCAAAGTGGTTGTGAAATCAAGTGCAGTCACATGATGCCTCACTTAATGACAGTACTGCTAAACAATAAAAGTGACAATTGTAAGTGTAGGATTAACTGTACAGATAAACTATCTCAAAATTAAAAAGGCATCAGGGTGACATATATGGTCAATAATATAATAATACCTCAAATGCAGTAATTGGAAAATCAAACTGTAGAACCCAGAAACCTATCCAAAACCTATAATGATGTTTCACAGTTCTCCTTTTCTAATCCTATCTTCCACTACTAATGGCATCAATTACATAAAAAATAAGAATTGTCACTCAAAGTCTAATGAATTTAAATGCATCCTTCCTTAAAGTTTTTTTTTAAAGAATCTGACTGTAAATATCAAGCTGCCTTTAGGAAGAAATATGTTTGCTGTTATCCTTAAATATATATGTTTCATAGAATAGAGACACTGAAACACAAATGTAATTATTAGTTCTGTATAGGACTTATCTTATAGGGGCATTTAGGCTTAACCTAAATAACTCCAAAATTAGGCTTCAAAATACTTTATACACTTGATGCAAGTTGGCAGTAATGCATGTCGATTCACAAGACATAACCTGGCTGCAACGGAAAGCCATGCCTTAGATCAGGGCTGTCAAACCTGCAGCCCATGGGTCCAATGCGTCATGCGCTGGCCCATACCCGATTTAGCAAAGGGGGGGAAAGTCCCATTACGCTATCACGCTGTGAGTTTGACACCCCTGCCTTATATGATCAACATCAATTTCACCAGTTTTGAAGAAGCTCAGGTCTAATGAAATGGATCTTCTCCCTTAACTACATAATTGGTATGACCAAAGCCACAATTACCTTCAAATAGAGGAACATAGAATGCGAGCTATAAGCAGCAGGATTTTACAATGGTTTAGCATTCCCTAATTCCTTATGCTCTGGCAGATGGTATCCTTTAATGCTCAAGTGTATTTCTGCTCTGGGTATAATCCATATACTCTGAACCATCTTCTTTTCTATGCACAATTAGGCATTACAGCTTGTCTAAGACATAAAATGGCAATTGCTTTCTAAAGTTTACCTTGCAGAGCCTACCTCTCTAAAAGATAAACTTCACTGGATATTCTCTAGCATCAAGAAAAATGTATTCTTGGGTCATTTGTATATACTGTTGCTACTTTGGGGGTTATAGTAAGAAGATACCAATATCCCTTTGCTGCATTTTAATGGTTGCCCTGATTTAGTAGCCCTAGTTGCTGCATGAGGTAAGAAGTTAGTCTTGGTGTGTTCCCACTGCAGATGTAAGATACAATCAAGAGTTACACTTGTACGGGACACATCTAGAGGTACAGTATCCTGCTTCATATATATATATATGTCAAGCGCCCATGGTGGCTATGTACTCACAATTCCTTATTTATGTTCATTTTTGGTTGGCTGGTTGGTTTCACACCTATTTTCTGTGTGTTTATTCATACCAGTTTCTAGTCAAATGGCAGAAGCAATGTTTACACTTTAAACATGAATTGTTTCCGAGCATAATTTATCATGGGCCAGTAATAAATTATATGGTAGAATATTTGAAGAAGACTATTTTGTATTTCAATAAAGTCATTTAAATATGTTTCTGTATCTCTAGTTAAAGAGTTTTTTTCTGGATGATCTGATAAAGATGATCTACTATTTTTCCATCTGACATGCTTATTTAGAAGAATGAAAGTTTTTTTTAGATATCTCAACAACACGGAAATATTTTTAACATCTTAAGAGACTATGATTCTTTTTCTTCTGAATCACATTTCTCAATATAGCTAAGCAAGTAACTACTAGCTTTGTTCATTTGTTAAATATTGTTTATATCATAACCAACTTCAATGGCATTGTAAAAAAAAGTGCATTAGAACTTGAGAGAAAAAATTCTAGAAGAAAAATGTCAATCCTTCCATTTCATTGTCTTTTAGCCTAATGTTTTAAAGATTCGAAACTGTGTTTCAAAGCCAGATTACTTTAATTTTCTACTTATTTGCTATAATTTGTATATCATTGGGGGGGGGGGGGAGGTAAATCTAAGTGTCAAAATTTCCCAAGCATTTCCATTCTTTTAAAAAGAAATATTGCAGAAAGATCAACAGAGTGAATTTATTTTGTTATAATTTGCAGTACACAATCAAAGATATTTGACAAAGTACTTGGAACAGTTTAGTAGGAAATAAGCCAGAGATGAAAGAGATACAATTACAGATGAGAACATTTCCAAAGTAATATTAAGAATCCTGTACTGTTCAGGGAACTGCTAGTTGTATGCAGGCTTATAACTGCATGCAAAATTTAGGTACCGCTGGTCGACATATGTTTCAATGAATACATAAGGGAATAGAAGCTGACACAATCTCTACATCATACAATATTAACCATGACATATTTCTACATATTTGGATGCATACCTAAGTATTTTGTACCATTATTTACCAAACAAAAATAAGTAAACTGTTTATATGGCAGATACAGAAATTTGGGCACCATTCTAATCGATTTGGTGCTACTTTTTCTAAAACTGTAAAGTTGTTAATGAGATAACCAGAAAGTGGTTAAC